GAGGGGGGGGGGCTAATTGAGTTTCTTCCGTCAACACATTGGAAAACAATATAAAAAAGCATCGTTTTTTTCTGCTGAAGGGGAGGCTTCAGTCCCACCCTGGATCCGCCCTTGGTATACTCGCGTTGTAATTCAGGCAAAGGAAATATCTTTGACTAACATGTAACCATCATGGTAACATGCGTCGCTCTACATGGAGAACACTAAAACTGATTCTTCACAATAATTCTTGCATTCTAATTGTCATCAAAGTTTTTGCGCAGAAAACTGAACAACGCGTTACCCAAAAGAATGCAACACAGTTTTGAATTCTCTTAATACTTACTGCTTTTATCGGCCTTCAAGCATCTCGCCATCTTAATCTTGTACTCATACATCACCATCTGTCCGTCTGCGTATTGTTGGACGATGTTGTCACAGTTTTTGGGGATATTTTTGAGGTTTTCTGTAAAATAATAAAATACATAATGTTTATAGCTAAAGGCTGTTTATAAGGCTGCTATATTTTCCGGCTGTTGAGCAGTCTACACTCTCAGGTATTTTCGAAACAATGATACGATACTCAACACATGAAGTCATAATCTCAACGGAGAGATTAATCGTAGAAAAATGCCTTTGTACAAAAAAAAACCCAAATGTAATCAGTAGAGCCCAGAGGTAGTTTCATGGTTCAATGGTGTACACATTTCCCCCAATCCTATATAATGCATTGCGCAAGTCAGTAGTCAATTAACAAAATAGCAGAGACAATAGGACTGTGTCCTTAACCCGAGTTAACACGATTAAACTACTTTTCTTTGAGATGCATTTTAAACGTACACAATTTGTTAGGGTAACTAGATTTAGACAGCATTGTTATCCAGGCCCTTCTAGATCGAATCAGACTTTACTCTATTTACTTATGATATAGTTATAATAATAATAAATATTTTAATGAAGATTTTTTACGAGTCAAGGCTAAAAGAAGCGAGCTGAGAAAGCGATTGACTTGGTTGATACACAAGAATCTGAAATATTTTGAAGAGCAAGGCTACGCCCCATGCCGTCTACAAAAATAAAACTTTTTTCTGGTTTTAGGTAAATTGCTGATATTATGAAAAAAAGTACAAAAAATATGCAAGACAACAATGACTTCACGTAGCTGTTGAGAAAGGATCGTAAGAAAAGTCTTGCTGTGTATTCGGGTACCCGTCACACGAGTTTATATCACAAGTCAAAATTCACCATCAACTCGTAGTGTTCTATATTAATAATAACCTATGGAAACCTAAAACAAAGTTAAATCAGCTTTCAAAAATTTAGACAATAAAGATAAAAAGTTAAAATATGAAGTTTTACCTTTTGGTAAATTCGATTCTATTTTGACCGATTTGTCAGACTTTATTTCAGTTTTGGCCTTTGGCGATGGCTTGCTCTGCGTTTTAGATTTCGACGTTTTGTCTTTCGCCTTGCTGGATTTCTTATCGTTAATTTTGCTCGTAGAAGGCTTCTCTTTCTTTGGTTTAGCTATTTTTCCTTTTTTCTCCCGAACTTGAGATTTGTTTGTGGTTTCATGCTTCTTGTTGGAGGTTTTTGAGTGATTTTCTTTCGCAGGCTTCGATGATTTCTTGACTGCATGGTCTTTAGACTTTGAATGTTTTTTCGCCGGTTTTGACTCACAAATAACAATCAAAGCTAAAATTACTAAAGCAAGCACCAATGAAAGCCTCATTCTTACAAACAAGTGAAAATTTTCAAAAATATTCCCGGGCAACTGGCAGAAAAATCTCCACGCACGTGCTGCTTCGTAACTTCCTTTTCGAATCTGTTTTTGTTTTTCAATAATGAACCTAGCGCGCCTGACGTCAATTCAACACAACTCATTCTATTAAATAATTCATTAGCAAATCCTTTGTTTAGAACACCAGGTCGCAGTAGAAAGACCTGCTAGGTAAAAGCTATAGAAACAAAAAGAGGCGTTCTCTGTCGTTTCGCTTCGCGAACTAAGACAATTTGTTTGTTTGTAGTTTTATTTTGTTTATAAAATATAATTAAGCGTTTCTGTTCGATTCAGTAAGTTTTATAGTAGGAGACAAGAGGAAAAATAGTTTTAGGAAATTATGAAAATTTGATGCTCAATCATTTTTATTTCTGTCAATGATTTAAAAGAAGCGTTGAGTATTTCTATATGCAGCTGGTCTTGCTATGCTTTTGCTTCCATATAGCTTGGAAATTATTGCTGCCACATGGATGCCATTTAGGATTCCCTTAGGAATGATATATCGATTATAAACCACCTAAAGTGAACATCACCCAACATGGATCACTCGACGAAATAATGGATTTGGTCATCATATGTCCGCTTGGCAAATGTTGGGCAAATATGGTGCTCTATATTTGCCCATACATTTG